TCTTTAACCATTTATCAGTCAATGGACATTTGGGCTCTCTCCATAGTTTGGCTATTGTTGATAAGCTACTATAAACATTGAGGTAGATGTACTTCTTTGAATCTGTATTTTTTTATCCTTTGGGTAATACCTAATAGTCCAATTGCTGGATCATAAGGTAGTTCTATTTTTACTTTCTTGAGGAACCTCTATAGTGTTCTCCAGAGTGGCTGCATCACTTTTATTCCCACCAACAGTACAAGAGTTCTCCTTTTTCTCATCCTCACCATCAACTGTTGTTTCTTGTGCTGTTAATTTTAGCCATTCTGACAGGTGTGAGGTAACATCTCATTGTGGTTTTGATTTGTATTTCTCTGATGATGAGTGATGCTGAGTATCTTTTCATGTCTGTTAGCTATCCGGATGTCTTATTTGGAAAGGTGTCTGTTCATGTTTTCTGCCCATTTCTTAACTAGGTTACTTGTTTTTTGAGTGTTGAGTTTGATAAGTTCTTAATAGATTTTGGATACTAATCTTTTATCAGATATAGCATTTGCAAATATCATCTCCCATTTCATAGTCTATCTTTTAGTTTTATTGATTATTTCCTTCACTGTTCAGAACTTTTTTATCTTGATGTCAACATGATGTTATCATATTTGCTTTTTTATTTTCCTTGCCTTTGGCAATGTGTCTAGTAAGAAGTTGCTCTAGCCAAGGTCAAAGAGGTTGCTGCCTCTAGGATTTTGATGGTTTCCTGTTTCATATTTAGATCTTTCATCCATTTTGAATTTATTCTTATGTATGGTATAAGAAAGTGGTTCAGTTTCATTATTCTGCATGTCACCATCCAATTTTCCCAACACCATTTGTTAAAGAGACTGTTTTTGCCCCCAGTGGATGTTCTTTACTGCTTTGTCATATTACTTGACCATACATTTGTGGGTCCATTTCTGGGTTTTCTATTCTGTTCTATTGATCTATCTGTTTTTATCCCGGTACAATATTGTCTTGATGAGTACAGTTTTGTAATATAGCTTGAAATCTAGAATTGTGATGCCTCCAGTTTTGTTTTTCTTTTTCAGGATTGATTTGGCTATTCAGGGTCTTTGGTGGTTCCATACAAATTTTAGGATTGTTTGTTCTAGCTCTGTGAAAAATGCTGGTGGTGTTTTGATAGGGATTGCATTGAACTTGTCGATTGCTTTGGCTAGTATAGACATTTTAACAATGTTTGTTCTTCCAATCCATGAGCATGGAATGTTTTTCCATTTCTTTTATCCTCTTCAATTTCTTTCATAAGTGCTCTATAGTTTTCAGAGTATAGATCTTTTACCTCTTTAGTTAGGTGTATTCCTAGGTATCTTACAGTTTTAAGTGCAACTGTAAATGTGATGATTGATTCCTTGATTTGTTTTTCTGCTGCTTCGTTGTTGGTGTATAGAAATGCAACAAAAGTACCTGGGTGGCTCAGTCAATTAAGCTTCTAACTTTGGCTCAGATCTTCTTTAATTTCCTCGTTAACTCATCCATTCTTTAACAGGATGTTCTTTAACTTCCATGCATTTGAGGGCTTTCCAAATTTTTTTGTAGTTGACTTCAAGTTTCATAGCATGGTGATCTGAAAATATGCATGGTATGACCTCAGGTTTTTTGTACTTGTTGAGGGTTAATTTATGACGCAGTAAGTGATTTATTCTGAGAATGTTCCATGAGCACTCAAAAAGAATGTGTATTCTTCTTCATTAGGATGAAAAGTTCTGAATATATGTTAAATCCCTCTTGTCCACTGTGTCATTCAAAGCCATTGCTTCCTTGATTTTCTGCTTAGATGATCTGTCCATTGCTATAATGGGGTGTTAAAGTCTCATTATTATATTATGGTATTGTATTATTTTCAATAACTTTCTTTATGTTTGTGATTAATTGTATCATGTATTTGGGTTCTTTCAAATTGGGAGAAAAATAATTACAGTTGTTAGATCTTCTTTGTCACAGACTATGAGTCTGGAGTTCTTTCTTGTCCAGCAAGAGAGTGGATGCAGAAATGAAAACAAGGAAAGCTAATGTCTGGGAGGAGACAAAAGCCCCAAACAGGGATTTCGGCTCCATATTCATTGAGTTCTCAAGATCTTATACACATGGTGAATGTGAAGAAAACAATCAGATAGAAATAATTAACTTGTGTGTGTAAGAAGCAAAGGTCTGGGGGCAAGTGGGATTTGAAGTTGTGATCAAAGTATATAGGTGCCAGATGGAAAGTAGTTTCCTGCAGGTGATATACAAATTACTCTTGATTCCATCATAATATCTCACTAACTAACCTTGGGCAATTTTGCCCTGTGGTGGTGGCTTTCCACCCTAAGCTTTTTCTAACCCATTTATGTAAGTATAAAGAATTCTTGAACCTATTTCCCCAAACTTCTTGATGGATAGACCCTTTAATTATAATGTAATGCCCTTTTCATCTCTTGTTACAGTCTTTGTTTTAAAATATAGTTTGTCTGATATAAGTATGGCTACTCCAGCTTTCTTTTTATGTCCATTAGCATAATAGATAGTTCTTCATTCCTTCATTTTCAATCTGCAAGCATCTTTAGGTCTAAAATAAGCCTCTTGTAGGCCATGTATAGAGAGATCTTGTTTTTTAATCTACTCCGCTACCCTGTGTCTTCTGATTGGAACATTCAGAGTGGTTCTTGAAACATATGAACTTAATGCCATTGTGTTAACTATAGAGTTGGTGTTTCTGATGATGCTCTCTGATCCATTTTAGTATTTTTTGCTTTTGGTTTTTTTTTTTTTTTTTTCTCCACTCAAAGAGTTCCCCTTTAAAATTTCTTGCAGGACTGGTTGAGTGGTTACAAATGCCTTTAGCTTTTGTTTGTCTGGGAAGCCCTTTGTCTCGCTGTATTGTCTCTCTGTTTGTTGTTCCGTATTGAACGACAGCTTTGCAGTATAGAGTATTCTTGCCTATATATTTTTTCCATTCAACACATTAAATATATCGTGCCACTCCCTTCTGGTCTGCCAGGTTTCTGTGAACAGATCTGCTGCAAACCTGATTTGTCTTCCCTTGTAGGTTATGGACTTTTTTCCTTTGCTGCTTTCAAGATTCTTTCCTTGTTTGTGTATTTTGGGAATTTGAATTTTTTTAACGTTTACTTATTTTTGAGAAAGGGAAAGAGACAGCATGTTAGCAGGGGCAGAGAGGGCCAGAGAGAGAGAGGGAGACACAGAATCCGAAGCAGCTCCAGGCTCCGAGCTGTCAGCACGGAGCCAAGCATGAGGCTTGAACCCACAAGTCATAGATAATAATCTGAGCCAAAGTCGGACACTGAACCCACTAAGCCACCCAAGTGCCATAGTACTTTGTGAATTTGACTATGCTATGTCTTGGTAATGGCCAGCTTTGGTTGAATTTAATGAGAATGCTCTTTGCTTCTTGGATTTTGACGTCTGTGTCCTTCTCCACAGGGAAATTTTCAGCTATGATTTTCTCATATACACATTCTGTCTTTTTTCCCTTGCTTCATCTTCTGGGACTCTTATGATATGAATGTTATTACATTTGGGGGCACCTTAGTGGCTCAGTCAGTTAAGTGGCCAACTTCAGCTCAGGTCATGATATTGTGGTTCGCTAGTTCAAACTCCACACCAGGTTCTGTGTTGACACCTCAGAGCCTGGAGCTGGCTTTGGATTCATTGTCCCTCTCTCTCTCTCTTCCCCTCCCTCACTCATACCCTGTCTCTCTCAAAAATAAATAAACGTTTAATTTAAAAAATATTACTCTGCTTTAATAAATTGCTGAGTTCCATAAGTCTGCCTTAGTGATTCTTGACCTTTGTTTCCCTCTTCTTTTCAGCTTCATTATTTCCAATAATTTTATCTTCTATATTGCTAATTTGTTCCTCTGCCTCATCCATCCTTGTTTCTATGGCCTCTGTTTGGGTTTGCATCTTGGTTATAGCATTGTTAATTTCAGCCTGACTAGATTTTAGTTCTTTTATCTCTACAGAAAGAGATTCTCTGGTGTCTTCTATGCCTTTTTTTTCCCAAGCCCAGCTAGTATCCTTATAAATTGTTTTAAATTCTAGTTCAGACATCTTACTTATATCTGCATTGAACAAATCTCTGGCTGTGATTTCTTCCTGTTCTGTCTTTTCTTTTTTCTTAAATAGTTTATTGTCAATTTGGTTAATATATAACACCCAGTACTCATCCCAACAAGTGTCCTTCCCATGCCCATCACCTCCCTTCCCCTCTCCTCCACCCACATCAGCCCTCAGTTTGTTCTCAGCATTCAAGAGTTTCTCATGGTTTGCCTCTCTCCAACTATTTTTCCCCTTCTTCTCCCACATGGTCTTCCTGTTCTGTCTTTCGAGGTGAATTCCTCTGTCTTGTCATTTTTTAGGAAGTAATAATAATAATAATAACAATAATAATAATAGAATGAAATAAAAATGTAAAAATTTTAAAAATCAAATAAAGGAAGCTAGATCCTAGGTATATTTTGGTTTGCTTTTTAAGAGAAGCTTGATAGAAAAGAGAGAAAAAGAGAAAAAAGTAAAAAGTAAAAAAATAGTAAAATAAAATAAAATAAAAATTTACTATTTCTGCGTCCAAGAAACAAAAGAAAAACAGCAGCAATAACATAAAAACAGAAGCAACAACAACAATTAAAATATGAAGAAACAAAAATAACCAAATGAAACAAAATCTAGTTTCCATTAGAGCTGAAATTTTGCAGCACTCTACGGTCAGTGTACTAAGCAGGAGGAAGGGATTTGTGCTGGTCTTCTGAGGGAGGGGCCTGGTGCTCTGATTCTCAGGCCAGCTTCCCCTATTGGAGATGTGCCTGGAGGGCACAGCACAGTAATGTCTCTATTCTCCATTTGGTGGCACTGTTTAGCTCACTGGGGTCTATCAGGGTTGATGGGCTAATGGTGAAAATGGCTTCATTTAGTCTTCAGAGCATGGAGTTTTTGCCCTCACAGATGCACAATCAGTCACCCTTCCTTTATCCCCCATTTCCATCAGCTCCCCACCTCCCCCCTGTCTGTGTCCCAGCTATCTGCCCACCAGGCATCGCCTCTTTCCAGAAGTTTATCTGAAGTGCAGCTGTGTTCGAAAGCCCACACTTCAGGGACTCCTTAGGTTCGGACCCACAGTAATCTTCTGACGGACAGTCTCGCCACGCTGTGGCTGGGGTCAGCTTGTCCCAGGAAGCAGTCGTGCCACTGCATAGCCACACAGCTCAGAGTTTATGATAAATCACAGCACACACCGAGGCCAGAGTTTGCTCCCCTCACCCAATCTGTTTCTATACAGGTGAATGTGTCAGCTTGATGAAATCCAATGGGTCTTTTGCCCACAGAGGTGGCTGTATCACCTCTACCAAATGCACTCCAAGCAGAGGACCTGCTTCTCCCCAATCGACCCACAGTATCCTCAGACCATACTGCCCACTCCAGGGCCTCTGCTCCACTTCCTTACCAGAGCACCACCAGTGGCTGACCTCTGAAATTTCCGACTCTGTGCTCTGCTATTTATTAGAATCTAGTTGTATTGAAATTCTCTCTTTTTCTCCTGTCAATGGTTTTAGGGAACAGTTTTCTTGTGCAGTCCCCTATGCACATCTTCACTCTTTCTCCCTCACTGCTTTCAGGGGGAATGGTTTCTTGTGCAAACTCTATGCACTACTCTCTCTCCCCCTCTGTCTTTCTCTTCTCAATGAGAACAGCTCCCTCGCCTCTGCAGCACTATGGCTTTTCTCTCCCCCAATTCGCCTCTCCATACTAGGCACTAACTGCCAAGTTCTCTTCCTCAAATTATTCAGGCTATTCTGTTAATCCTCAGATCAATTTCCTAGGTGTTCAGAATGGTTTGATGTTGATCCAGCCATGTTTGAGGGATGAGACAAGCCCAGGGTCTCCTTACTACTTTGTCATCTTCACTCCTCCCTCCTCTCATCTAAACTTACTTATGGCTTTTTTAAATGTATATATTTACATAGTTTTTATGATGCTTCCTCTGGGTACTACAGTATGCGTATGCAACTTACATCAGTGTACTGGCATATCAATATTTATGGTCACAAGTGAAATGTTGGGCATCTACTTTGATTAGATTCCTTATCATGTATACTTTTAATATTATTGCCCTGATTATGGTGCTACAATTTTTATTTCAGTCATCAAATATGATTCCTAAAAGTCATGAGCAAGAGATTAGTCTATCGGATATACTCATATTTCTGTTTTTTCCATTGTGCCTTCTTGATGTTTCAAGATCCCCTCCTTTAGCATTTCTTTTTTGTTTGAAGAACTTTTTGAAGTCAATCTTTATTTATTTATTTATTTTTACTCAACCCATTTTGGTTTTTTTATTTTTTATTTTTATTTATTTATTTTTTATTTTTTTTTTACAAATAGTTTATTGTCAAATTAGTTTCCACATAACACTCAGTGCTCATCCCCACAAGTGTCCTCCTCCATGCCCTCCCCCCTCCCCCCCACATCCATCAGTCCTCAGTTTTTGTCAGCATTCAAGAGTCTCTCATGGTTTGCCTCTCTCCCTTTCCCCCACCATTTCCCCCTTTCTTCTCCCCCTTGTTCCTCCGTCAAGTTCCTCCTAATCCTCCTATACGTGCAAACATATGATATTTGTCCTTCTCTGCCTGACTTATTTCGCTCAGCATAACACCCTCAAGGTCCATCCATGTTGCTACACATGGCCAGATTTCATTGTTTCTCATTGCCATGTAGTATTCCATGGTATAGATAAACCACATCTTCTTGATCCATTCATCTGTTGATGGACACTTAGGCTCTTTCCATGTTTTAGCTATTGTGGAGAGTGCTGCTATGAACATTGGGGTACATGTGCTCCTATGCCTCAGCATTTCTGTATCCCTTGGGTAAATTCCTAGCAGTGCTATTGCTGGGTCATAAGGGAGTTCTATTGTTAGTTTCCTGAGGAACCTCCACACTGTTTTCCAGAGGGGCTGTACCAGTTTACATTCCCACCAACAGTGTAGGAGGGTGCCCGTTTCTCCACATCCTCGCCAGCATCTAGAGTTCTCTGATTTGCTCATTTTAGCCACTCTGACTGGCGTGAGGTGGTATCTCAGTGTGGTTTTGATTTGTATTTCCCTGATGAGGAGGGATGCTGAGCATCGTTTCATGTGTCTGTTGGCCATCTGGATGTCCTCTTTGGAGAAGTGTCTGTTCATGTCTTCTGCCCATTTCTTCACTGGGTTGTTTGTTTTTCGGGCGTGTAGTTTGGTGAGTTCCTTATAGATTCTGGATATTAACCCTTTATCTGATATGTCATTTGCAACTATCTTTTCCCATTCCGTTGGTTGCCTATTAATTTTCTGGGTTGTTTCCTTGGCTGTGCAGAAGCTTTTAATCTTGATGAGGTCCCAACAGTTTATTTTTGCTCTTGATTCCCTTGCTTTTGGGGATGTGTCAAGTAAGAAGTTGCTGCGGTGGAGGTCAAGGAGGTTGTTTCCTGCTTTCTCCTCTAGGGTGTTGATAGTTTCCTGTCTCACGTTCAGGTCCTTTATCCATTTTGAGTTGATTTTTGTGCATGGTGTGAGAAAATGATCTAGTTTCATTCTTCTGCATGTTGCTGTCCAGTTCTCCCAACACCATCTGTTAAAAAGGCTGTCTTTTTTCCATTGGATATTCTTTCCTGCTTTGTCAAAGATCAGTTGGCTGTATACTTTTGGGTCCACTTCTGAGTTCTCAATTCTGTTCCATTGGTCTATGTGTCTGTTTTTGTGCCAATACCATACTGTCTTGAGGATGACAGCTTTGTAGTAGAGGCTGAAGTCTGGGATGGTGATACCTCCCGTTTTGGTTTTATTTTTCAGTATTACTTTGGCTATTCGGGGTCTTTTGTGGTTCCATACAAATTTTTGGATAGTTTGTTCTAGTTTTGAGAAGTATGCTGGTGCAATTTTGATTGGAATTGCATTGAATGTGTAGAGTGCTTTAGGTAGTAATGACATCTTAACTATATTTATTCTTCCTATCCATGAGCATGGAATGTTTTTCCATTTCTTTGTGTCTTCTTCAATTTCCTTCATAAGTTTTCTATAGTTTTCATCATACAGATCTCTTGTATCCTTGGTTAGGTTTATTCCGAGGTATTTTATGGTTTTTTGTGCAATTGTGAATGGGATCAGTTTCTTGATTTCTCTTTCTGTTGCTTCATTATTGGTGTATAAAAATGCAACCGATTTCTGTACGTTGATTTTGTACCCTGCAACTTGGCTGAATTCTTGGATCAGTTCTAGTAGGCTTCTGGTGGAGTCTGTCGGGTTTTCTATGTAGAGTATCATGTCATCTGCGAAGAGTGAAAGTTTGACTTCCTCTTTGCCAATTCTGATGCCTTTGATTTCCTTTTGTTGTCTGATGGCTGATGCTAGGACTTCCAGCACTATGTTAAACAACAGTGGTGAGAGTGGACATCCCTGTCGTGTTCCTGATCTCAGGGGGAAAGCTCTCAGTTTTTCCCCGTTGAGGATGATGTTAGCTGAAGGCTTCTCATAGATGGCTTTGATGATGTTTAAGTAGGTTCCTTCTATCCCAACTTTCTCGAGAGTCTTTATTAAGAAGGGATGCTGTATTTTGTCAAATGCTTTTTCTGCATCTATTGACAGGATCATATGGTTTTTATCTTTTCTTTTATTGATATGATGGATCACATTGATTGATTTGCGAATGTTGAACCAGCCCTGTAACCCAGGAATGAATCCCACTTGATCTTGGTGGATGATTCTTTTGATATGCTGCTGGATTCGATTTGCAAGGATCTTGTTGAGAATTTTTGCATCCGTATTCATCAAGGATATTGGCCTATAGTTCTCTTTTTTTGTTGGATCTCTGTCTGGCTTGGGAATCAGAGTGATGCTGGCTTCATAAAATGAGTCCGGGAGTTTTCCTTCGACTTCTATTTTTTGGAATAGCTTGAGAAGAATTGGGATTAATTCTGTTTTAAATGTCTGGTAGAATTCCCCAGGGAAACCATCAGGTCCAGGGCTCTTATTTGTTGGGAGATTTTTGATCACTGATTCGATTTCTTCACTCGTTATGGGTCTGTTCAGGTTTTCTATTTCTTCCCGTGTGAATTTTGGTAGTGAGTGTGTGTTTAGGAATTTGTCCATTTCTTCTAAGTTGTCCAATTTGTTGGCATATAATTTTTCATAGTATTCCCTGATAATTGCTTGTATTTCTGAGGGGTTGGTTGTAATAAGTCCATTTTCATTCATAATTTTGTCTATTTGGGTGCTCTCTCTTTTCTTTTTGATAAGCCTGGCTAGAGGTTTGTCAATTTTGTTTACTTTTTCAAAAAACCAACTCTTGGTTTCATTGATCTGTTCAATTGTTTCTTTGGTCTCTATGTTGTTTATTTCTGCTCTAATTTTTACTATTTCTCTTCTTCTACTGGGTTTAGGGCGTTCTTGTTGCTCTGCCTCTAGCTCCTTTAGGTGAGCTGTTAGATTTTGGACTTGTGCTTTTTCTAATCTCTTGAAATAGGCCTGGAGAGCAATGTACTTTCCTCTTAGGACTGCCTTGGCCGCATCCCATAGATTTTGAATTGTTGTGTTTTCATTTTCATTTGTTTCCATATATTTTTTAATTTCCTCTCTAATTGCCTGATTGGCCCATTCATTCTTTAGAAGGGTGTTCTTTAACCTCCATGTTTTTGGCGGTTTTCCAGACTTCTTCCTGTAATTGATTTCAAGTTTCAAAGCATTGTGATCTGACAGTGTGCATGGTATGATCTCTATTCTTTTATATTTATTGAGGGCTGCTTTATGTCCCAGTATGTGATCTATCTTGGAGAATGTGCCATGCGCACTTGAGAAGAAAGTAAATTCCCTGGCCTCAGGATGTAAAGTTCTAAATATATCCGTCAGATCCATCTGGTCCAATGTGTCTTTCAAGTCCATTATTTCTTTAGTGATTTTCTGTCTGGTTGACCTATCCATTGCTGTAAGCGGAGTATTAAAGTCCCCTGCTATTAGCACATTCTTATCTATAAGCTTGTTTCTGTTTGTGATTAATTGTTTTAGATATTTAGGTGCTCCCATATTCGGTGCGTAGACATTTATGATTGTTAGTTCTTCCTGATGGATGGACCCTGTAATTATTATGTAGTGCCCTTCTTCATCTCTTGTGATTGTCTTTAATTTAAAGTCCAGTTTGTCTGATATAAGTATCGCTAC